TTTATATTTTAGTACATCGATATTTCAAACTCGACCTTTAGTAGAAAATTCTATGTGGATGGAACAAACAACTTTACGAACTATGCATATTTGTCATCCAGAAGTAAGTTTGTATAGATTGTTTTATTTATTATTATTATTATTATTATAATGTATTTTTATTAAGCAACGTAATTTATATAATAAAATATTTGGTGGTTATTTAATGAGAAAATCATTTGAATTAGCTTGGACAACAGCTAGTTTATTTGCGTATGTTCAAAAATTTTTTTGATATTCTTCAAAATAAAACAAAAATATATTTCTTTAGAAAACAATCATTAAGTACACTTGCAGTTGATGATATTATGTTTCAACGTCCAGTAGAAATTGGTTCACTTTTATTTCTTTCGGGAATGGTTGTTTATGTTGAAGATAATAAAATTCAAACACGTGTACATGCTGAAGTCGTTGATATTCATACAACAAATCGTGCAACAACAAATATTTTTTATTTTATATTTAAAACAAAAAATAATACACAACAACTTGGAAATATTGTACCAAAAACTTATGCTGGTAAATTATAAAAAAAAAAGAAAAAGAAGATAAAAAACTATTTCTTATTTTTTTTTTTTAGAAGCAATGATGTATATAGATGGCAAACGACATCTTCATTAATTATATTTATTTAATTTAGCAATAGAATACAGAGAACAATAGTTGTTTTTTTTTTGCAGATTATGACAAAGATATATTTTCATGTTCATAATAATGAAACTGATTTTTTTTTTATATCGACGTGTATATTAGTGTTTGATTGAAACCTAACACAATTCTTTTGACGTCTATTATGCGATTCTTTGTTTCTATCTGTAAGCCCATACTTTTTTGTCATCGTTACATAACTCTGTAACCAAACGACTATGATCTATTATTCATAGATTTTATTTGTATTTATGTCGTCTTAGCATTTTGTGTTTTTTTTTCTATATATTGCAAGATGCTAGCATGAAAATAAATAAATTAGGTTATTGATTTGAAAAACTATAAAGTTAAGAATATTATATAGTTTTAAATTCCGATCCGGGTCATTGAGATCAAAGCTGGAGCTAGAGGCCATCGGGTACAAAAATTTTTGAATTCAGACCTGGTTGAAACAAAATTTTCACATTCGGACCTGATTGGATTCTGGTAATGAACTGGTCCCGTACATGTCTTGTTATGACTATTGTAGTCTCTCTCAAATTGGATACTTTAGATAAATAAACTTCTCCTAAAAGACTAGTTCAATGTGAAAGTATTAGATTTTCTTGTATGTCAAATTTTGAGATTCCAATATTGATAATGTTGTTATGGGGAAAAGCAAGTTTTATTCATATCTTACGAAGGGAACCCTGTAGATGTGAAATTGCTTTTCGATTGAGACGATGTCCATTGGATAAGTAATAGAAAAGTTGAGAATGGTTTGGTTTTTTGGATCATCGTTCTTGAGATATTGAAATTCTACTGAATTTTTCAACAAAAAACTGGTTCGCGCCTCAGATTAGTTTCGGTTTCAAATTTTGCATGGACAAAACTTGCTTTTTACACATAACAGACGACTATTCAATATCTCAGAAAAGGGAATTACTAGAAAAGTTACAACTTATCCAATGAAATAATCTAATGGCGAACCTTGTTCATGTGAAGTTTGAAGTCGGAACTTGAAATTCAAGTATTACTCATCAAATAAACATTTGTCTTGGTAGAAAAGCGATTTCATACTTGTAAAGATTTCCTCATCTGAATAGGAATTACTAGGAAAATCTTATACTTTCATATAATGAGTTAGATCCGCTGAGAATTTCAAAATGTGTAAATTGAAAAAAAATAGTCATAACTCCATAGGCATAAATCCTTTCATAGGTGTTTTTTTTAGTTTCAATACAGCCTACATAATGAAGTATGGTTAATATCCAAAGTAATTTATCACTTTGCAAGTTTTCCTTGGAAGTGACAAGAATGGATAGCTGTAAACCCAAAGTTGTTATTAAAATGTACACAATTACATATGTTTCTTGGGTTTTTTTTTGTCATGTGATACAATGAATATGAAATATTAAATTAAAGTTCAAAAAAAAAAACAAGTCAAAAATAATTGAAGTCGATTTGAGAATGCTATGAATTGAATTGATTTTATCTCTGTATTGAGCTCCTATTGCAAAATAAACTCATTTTGATATCATCATTGATACATTTTCAATATGATCAAAAAATTATTTCGAATAATTCTATTGATGATCTTGATCGTTTTTATGAATTATAATATTAAATCGAAATATATTTGTTTGTTGTTCTAATCACTCTAATGTAAAATATAATCAATAACCATAATAAGTGCTATAAATTATGAACACTTGAGTACACAGCATGAAAAGTAATCATAGTTTGAACAGCTGATATCTATTAATAACACATACTAAATGAATGCAAGATAAGAGATGTGAAAAAAACAAGTCGTTTGTCATTCTTATTTCATTTGCAAATTTTTTTTTTTGTCTTTTATCACTTCATAAAAAAAAATTATACTGAACAAAACAGGATCATTCCCTTCTTCTTCTTCTTCTCATAATATTAAGATAACGACGTCTCATCAAACCGTCGATATTTAGGAAAAACAATTGTTTAGTGACATCGTTCTTCTTTTCTTTTTTCCTTTCTTGTCTATCTACTTGGTTTACACGGTATGAGAACGAAGAAAGAAAGCAGCTATGTTTCTATTCTGCCTTGTTTCACTATTATATACATACATTTGTACAGTACTGTATACATCCAAGGACAGCAAACAGGCGCTAGCTTATTCTTTTTTTTTTTGGCCGTTATTTATCTTTTCTCTAGCGCTTTTTTTATGGCATTACTGATATTGGCGGATATTGGTATTCCATACTCAGGCAAAACGAGCGAGCAACAAAAAAAAAAACGAGAAAGAGAGAAACGTCGTCGTTGTCGTTGTCCTCAGTCTGGGTGTAGGAAGATACTAATATACATTCGACGTCTGACCTGAACTGAAGAAGACTAAATGAGTAAAATTTTTATTAGTCGACTAGATGGTAATGTTTCATGGGGATTTCGACTACAAGGTGGTTTAGAATACAATGAACCATTAACAGTCACAAATGTAAGTCTTACATATATATGTATTATATTCATTAATATAGAAAAGACAGGAAAATAACTATTAGTTAGTAATAAAGACAAGACAATAATTATTTTTGAAGACATTTTTTCTCAAAAAAAAAACAATTTTCTTTCTCGTAGATTGTCCCCGATTCTCCTGCTGATGGTAAACTTGATCCAGGCGATATGTTATTAGAAATAGCTGGTAATAATGTTACAAATATGACTCATCAAGATGCTCTCGAGCTTATTCAACGTTGTGCAAATGCTCTTTTTCTTACCGTTCATAAGTATATATCGAAAAGTTTCTTTTTTTTTTTATACGTAAGTTTTTTATAAATTCAGAGTCGGTTATTCATATCCACCAACCGGAGCTGCACCACGTCCTGCTCCCATAACTCCTATGTGGAGACCAACTGGACAACAACAGCCACCTCATAACCAACAGAACTTCCAACAACAACAACAACAACAACCTTACTACCAACAGCCACAACAGCAACCTTATTATCAACAACCACCTCACTATCAACAACAACAACAACAACAACCACCTCACTATCAACAACAACAACAACAACCACCTCACTATCAACAACAACAACCACCTCACTATCAACAACAACAACAACATCCTCCTTACTACCAACAACAACAACAACATCCTCCTTACTACCAACAACAACAGCCACCTTATTATCAACAACAACAACAACCGTACTATCAGCATGACTTTCAACAGCAGCAACAGTATGATCAACCGCCAGCACCTATTTTCAATGCAGCTCCTCCGGCGCCAACTCCTCCACCACCACCACCACCGCCACCCCCACCTCCTCCACCGCCACCACCTATGCCTGCTGCTAATGTCCCGCCACCACCATTATTCGATGCTGATCTTATTGCAAATGCAGCAGCTTCATTAAAAAGTCGACCAGCTACTGATGGAACAGCTACATCAGATGGACAAACAACAGTAAATAACATTTAGATTAAATATAATTATTTTCTTGAATTTAATAGTATCGTTTTTTTGTTTCTCTTTAGGACCTTTCAAATATTCCTGCTGTTCTTGCTAAAAGTTTAAGTCGACCTGGTGGTCCAAAACCATTTACATATACACCAGGTGGTCTCGATCTTTCAAAAATTCGTGAATCAGCTCGTGTTAGACGGTATGATTACATCATCATAACATATCAACGATGACAGGCTATGATCGCATACATTTTCTTTTAAGATATGTTACTTTCATTCACTTGTCATCACTTATACACGTGAAAATGACAGAGGTCGAACGCATTTTACAAGTGTAAAACTTCTTGTAATCTGATAAAAAAAAAAGACCTATCTATATATTCATTTTTTTGTCTATAACGGCCTACATTTAAATCACTTTTTTTTTTACAACAGCCAATAATGTAGAGGTACTTTATCTTTTATCTTTTTTATTCATGCTATTGAAAGAATGAGGGGAAAAAAAAAAGTAAGACATAGTTTAGTGTTTATGTAAATCAATACTTAATAACATAATTACTTCAACAAAAACAATACATCGAATATATTTTTTTATTAACTTCTTTCAGGACAAACAAAAAAATTAGTGTGAGTTCATGATTCTTTTCTATTTTAATCATTTTTTAAATGTTAAAAAAAAAACGAACTTGTTTGACATATGAAAAGAAAAAAATGTAACAGAAGAACAGAACAAAGTGAAAAACGAGACGATAGAACATAATAGCGAACTTGACCAATTTGAGCTTCTATGAGATTATGATGTTGATGATGACCTTGTTTGCGACAATATAATAGCTTGTCATTTTATTCTACTTATCGACGCTTTTCTTTTTTTTTTTTGTATTTTATATTCTTTTGAATATTTTAGTCATCGCGAATATACTTCGAATACTGAAGAACCAAACGAAACACAAGAATCTGAAACAAATATGAGTCGTCGAATGATAGTTCCACCTGATAATATGAATCAACATCATTATGTACCACAAAATCCAGCTCAATCATTTAATTATGCACGTCAACAACAAGCAACACCAACCAAAAAACATATACAACATGATGCAGATGTGTAAGTGTATATATTAACATTAAACAAAGATTTCTTTTTTTTGTTTTGTATTCTATTTTTCTTATAGAGTTACACAATCACGATCATTTCAAATGCTTCAAGGTTGGATTTCTGATAGTGAAAAAACTGTACCAGCACCAGTTGTACCACCATCACAATCACCAATAACAACAACAACAACAACAACAAATAAATCAGCAGGTAGACTTTTGACCTTCATTGGTTATTATACATTAAATAAAATCTAATCACAAATGTATGTCCTTGTTGAATACTAGAGATTGTAATCTATACATATAGAACTATTAAATAATCATTAGGATCAAATTGTTTTTTCTTTAACTTTAAACATAGTTGAGATTATTCGATTGAAAATTTTGTATACTTAAATTTCAGATATAAATATTCGACCCTCTAGCATTCTTTTACTCAACATATAAATATTGATAATTCCACAATTGACTCGCATAGATTCTAATGAGATCAGTTTTCCTAAAACAGTTCATAGAATGGCATTAATATATTGGATATCTTCAATTCCGAATTCTTTTCAAGATGCTCATTCGTACATAGTCTTAACTCAAATATAAGTGTTTTCTCTTCTGGAAGGACACTACCATCTTCCTCCACCTCTCCCATTCTAAACACATAGACTCTTTCATCAGATAAAAAACATACCATTGATAAGTAAAATTCTCACTGATCATATCTCTCTTATTTGTTGAACAATAAAATTAGTATGTTTTATTATCATATCAATCAATCATAATTTTTCTTTGTTGACATGTTCAATTTAGTTCAGTGACCTTATCTACATAGTTGAATGCCATCCGAAGGACATATTGATTGCAATGTATCATTCATTATTGTAATCTTCACTTGATTCGGAAAAAATTTTTTTCTTTTTTGTTGCTGCTCTCTCTCTAATTATCATTTTCTCTGTTACATAAAAGCAAAAATAATATTATTCTTATAATAATAGTTGCACGAGCTGTCCTTGATGAACAAATGGGTAAAAATGATCGTAGTAGAAGTTCTAGTGGTACAGCAGGTCTTCCTTCACGATCATTTCGTTATTTACAAGAACAATATAATACTAGTAATGGTGATAATAAAGAAACAACAACAACAACAACAACAACAACATTTGAAGAAACACCTATGTCAAATGAAGGTATTGGTCTTCGACGTAGTAGTGATGCTCATATGCCATCACGTGCATTTAAACTTTTACAAGATCAATATGATGCACAAAATGCACCTGTTAATCGAACAGCAGGAATTAATAATCGAGATGATTTAGCAGAAATTTATAATAAACGTAATAAATTTATTTATTTTTGAAATTAATAATTTAATTCTTTATTTCTTTTTTTTAGCACCACCAAGTTTTCGTGAACGTGAACCTGAAGCTCCACGTTATACAGGTTCAACAGTTCCATCACGTTCATTTCGTTTTCTTCAAATGATGACACAAAATGATGAACAAAATAATTCAAAACCAATTGCTGGTTATAATAAAGCACAACCATTAACAAATAAATATGATGAACAAAATCTTTCATTTAATACAAATAAACTTAATACACATCCATCACGTTCATTTAAATATTTACAAGAATTAACATCTGAACAACAATCAACTGGACCAACAACTATTACTCAAACAGGTAAATTTTTTGTTTTTTGAAATAATTTATTTTCCTTCTTTTTTTTTTATAGAAACACAAACTATTACAACAAATAATAGACAACAACAACAACCAATAAAAATGAATATTGCAATTCAACAATCACAACCAATTGTTCAAGTCAATACAACAAGTTCAAGTAGTCAAGGAGATATTATTGATAAATTATCTGCGGATATAGCAGCAACTGATTTTTGAAAATAATATTTATTTATTATGAAAAAAAATCTTTTTTTTTTTCTATCCGGTTTCTTCTTCTTTTTTTTTGTCCCTTCTAATTTTTAGAGTTCGGTTTTCTTTTCTTTTTTTTCTTTACTACGTTTCATATTGCTAACACAAACACATTTTATTATTAATTCATATTTGTCTTCTTTTTTTCTTTTTTTTTTTCTTTCTTAACTTTAATCAGAGCACTTGCAATAGTGACTAAAATGAATTAAACAAAAATTGCAATGATGAAAATTTTGACACACGCAATAATTTAGATAAATAAATATATTTATATTGTTCCATATTACAGATTTCAATAGATATATATATATATAGCCGAATGAAATAGATTTAATCTTGCTACTAGTGAATGTTGTTTAGTTTTATCTAAGTCACTCTTCAAAAATCGATCGTGGGACACATGCATTCAAATCGCATGAAGTTGTAGTGGAGAGAGGACATGCTACAATTTTCAGCTCTATATCATGATGTTCTTGGAAGATATTTAATAAATAAGGGTCGAAAATTCTCGACGGGCACTCATTTTATAGGTGTGTTTTTCATTTTATTATTTGAGACAGTATGTTAGACTGCAGTGAAGCTTTCCGGATTTAAAACTTTTTTTGAGCCAGACTCATTTTGGGAACTGGGACTTGGTTAACTGGAATTTTTCGTACCTAGTTGAGTCGTATTTTGATATTTCCAATGAAATTTTCTAATCGACATTGGATAGTCATCCCGAAGATATGAGATTGTTTTTTTTTTTTTGGGTGTTTTTGTATTCAGTGATTAGCACACCCTACGCATTTTTCAGACGACTAAAGTCCATGACTCGGATCGAATGGGCTTTAGACTGCGATGTCCTGTTTTTTTTCAATTCTTATTTTTTATACGGAGAAAAAGGATGACAAGTTTGATACATTGAAAAGAATCTCAAAAAAGTGTTCATGTGCTTTTTTTTCTATAATAATAAAAATCGGATACTATTACTCTCTTTCAAACAATAAAAAGAAGCAATTGGTTACAATAAAGCTCTAGATATGCGATTAGAAAAGTATAGATAGGAGAAAAAACATATTTTTTAAGAAGAAGGTGGTGACAGGAATCATTAAGCCATTCGTTCTAGTTTTGATTTTTCTGACGAAAACTGATATGGTTTTTTCTTATGGGAGGCACCTTAATAAACACTAAACTACAAATAGATATTATATTTCCATATATCTATCTTAATAATCCTTGGAATACAACCACTATTTGATTCTAAAAAAATTTTTTTTTTGTTCAATTAGATTTTTGTCATGACTTTTTAATAACATAAATTGATAAAAAATTTTGAATATCTTCTTTTAAACATATTCAATTTTTCTATTATTCATATCTTAAATAATTAAAATTAGAAATAAAATAGACGACAATGTCCTTGTTAATTGTATCAAAATACTTAGTTAAATATAATAAAATAACTTCTATCGAATATCTACATACTAATATAAAATGTTTTATACTTTGCAAACGTAATGTATTATATACATGAAATTGTAATATGAGATACTTATTACAAGACATTTTTAAAAACATCATTTAAAACATGTTTATCATGTCGTTTTTTTCTTTTTTTATATTTAATTCTCAAATTATTACCATCTCTGCTTCGATTCAAGGCAGATTTTTCTTTAAATCTAATCATTTTGATTCGATCTAGTGTACCACTTTCTTTTTTTTTCGATCAATGAATAATATCGAAATATTATCATAGAAAAAAGAAAAAAAACAAACATGAGAATATGTAAATGTTTAGCATGTGTAATAGAGAATTGATTCTATGTATAGCTAAACGAAGAAAAACAAAACAATGAATAGACTAACGATGCATCTATAATGCAACACATTTTCGTCGTAAACTCTATTACTAGTGATTAGAGATGTACGAGACCGGAACTTAAATTTATAGAAAAATATCATATGAATCAAAACATAACTCAAGAGAAATGATATAAACAAGTATTAGTCGTCGACTAAAAAAATACGAGTATTGAAGAAATCGTTTGAGATGTGATAGGAATAAATTTTCGCATAGTTTTCTCTAAACCGAGATCATGCAGATACTGGGTCCGAAAAAACTTGGTCCTATATATCTTTACTAGTAATATATAAATAGAATTAATTCTATTAGTATGCATGCATGGTACTTTAAACGAACCTTCGTTTATATATATATATACATTCATGTGCAAATGTTAACTAGGTTTTATATATATTTTTCAAAAATCAACATGCCTTATTCTATATAATACCATTTAGAATAGAAGTGTTATTAAAATATATCATATAGATACATATATCGTTAGTGATGATTGTCACATACAGTCGTTTATCGTGAAGGGATACATATTTAAATTGCTATTGTATATAATGCTAACACATTATTTATTCAGGTGTTGTGTTTTCTATACTGTAGTATTGATTGTAGGATACATAAAATAAAATTTTCAATCAAATATCTAAAACCTATTAGAAATATGTCAATTGAAGTAATCAAAAATTTATATCGACTAAATAAACAATCAAACATTTACTAGTTCATTATCTTTCTAGTATTTCTTTTTCTCATTTAGTTTTATATTTATTGTTTGAGATTTATAACAAAAAAAAACAACAACATAACCTCTTACTTGTTTTTTTAGGTCATCTACATTAATCATCTATATATCGTTAAATAAGCATCTATCAACAAAAACTATTGTCAAATAAATTACGTTTTTTTTTTCGGATGTATTGTTTATATGAAAATCTTTTCATCAAATATACTCAATTCTTCCCGTAATGTTAATCAATCAAAATCTGACAATAAGAATTCTTCGCTTCTAATTTTAATGGAGTTTTTCCCGAATATTAGCATGACCTTGACATACTATATATATATTTATATATGATAATGATATTTAGATAAGTAAATAAGATCCAATAGTGTGTAAATTTTATTTGTTGATAAATAAGCTTAAATAATATAAATAGAACAAAAAAAAAACAGCTTAAGAAAATCTAATATCAACTGACTAGTAGCGACCTCATCATAGAATTTATTATTTAAGATTTAGAATAAATTGTTTTTATTTATTTTCTCTTGAATTCAAAAATTCAAGATGATTAATATGTTTATTATATTATTTTATCTTTGGTACCATCTATAAATAATAATTGGTTTATTACCGCCATAGATCTAGTCTACAAGGACTCGTTTGTTTCATTAATATCCGTTTTTGGAATGTTGCACATGGTCGATTTTTTTTGCAGTTGTTATAACATATACACGTACATGAAATTTTGTTTTTTATTTTCTTGTCTTCGAGTACTTCTTCTTTTATTTTTTTATCATATTAATTCAAAGATAGAATGTTATTATCAATGTAGACAAAAAAAAACCGATAAGAGTTTCTTTTCGAATAGATAATAATGATGATGAGCTCGATTCATCATGGATTCGAGAAAAAAAAAATGTATTCAGCCGGAAATGAGCCGTATCGTGGGGTACTCGTCATATAGCACATACTAATTTCCTGTATGCAGAAGTCTCTTTTACATTCCATATAGATTTTTTGCGTTTTTTCTTTTTGTTATGTTTTATCTCGGTTTTTTTTTCTCTTAGTGTGTTCACTATCAATAATAATCATCATTTTTGCTGTCATTCGCTTGTTTGTTCGTTTTCTTCTTCTTCTTCGTCGTCTTCTCAAGTAGTCGAATGACAATGATGCGATAAGCGATTTTCATCTTGTTGAAAAGAACGAAGGGAAAGCAAGAGCGAGAGAGAGAGAGAGAAGATGTTGGGTTGTATATGTTTGTGATGCCGCTAATAAAGAGTTAGACATTTCAGTCCGAGAGCAAAAACAAACGCTAGTTTGAGAGTATAAGATAGTAGAGGGGACAGAGAGAGCGAGGGAAAAAAAGCAAGAAGGAGGAGAAGAAGAGAAAAAAAAATCGAGTTCCGTTAGTATTGCTACGAATACATCGTCAAAAGAGAAAAACCAGTAGCAATGGTAATGTAGTGGAACGATAGAAAAATATGCTGTAGATAGGAAGAGCAAAATAGTTCGGTCGCGTGAAGAAGAAAGAATATGTCGACAACGAGAAAAACAACAATAACAACCGCCGCCATTAATCTAGGAAATTGAGAAAAGAAACAAGAAACTACAGGAAGGATTAGTAACCAAGTCACGATTTATCTTTTGTCGAATAAGAATAAAGAACACTGACTGCTTGTACAAGATGCTTGCATAATCCCCTGGGTAAGGTCGCAATGACTATTTTTTATTCAAATTTTGATCTCTATAGTCATCAGGGGAATATATGAACGTACTTTCTTCTTTTTTTTTTTTCTATTATGTTTGTTTAGGAAAAATAAATAAATTTTATATGCAAATATTAGGAAGTTTTCCTTTTTTCCTTTTTTTTTTTATCTAAAATATTTTGTATTGCTTCATTAAGCATGTTCTCATATACATGAGTTATTTTCTAGTTGGTTTACTGATAATATCGTCATTTTCTAAGTAATTAAAAATACGTCAGCGCCAGTCATCATACACACATGCAAAAAAACTGATGATTCGATAAGAATTGATTTGTTTTCTTTTTTAGTTTTTTTTTAATAAACCAGTTTAATATTTCTTTGTAATAACTACGTATGAGTATTATTGTGTATGTTACTTTTTGTAATTGTTCGTGTAAATACATTTATATAACTAGTATTGATGATGACAAAGTGAGACATGTAGTAATAAGACAAGAAAAAAAAAATAAAAAAAGAAATAATATTGAAAAAAAAAAACCGACAGAAAGAGAATAATAATTTTTTATTTCCCTTGTCGGCTTCTGCTATGAAGAAAGAAAGAAGGAAGAATAGGAGTAGTCGAAAATAATAACATGCCATTAATAGTTATTATCTGAATAGTCTTCGTTGTTGTTGATGATAGTTGTTTTTCTTCTTCTTCGTC